GGGAATGCTTCCAGATATGCTCCTACACATCGCTGTTAGGTTGCTTTGCCAGGATAATTTTGAAACAGAAAGATCGCCAACCATCTACTGTATGTTCGGTCAGTCAGAGTTTTGAACATCGTTCGAGAACTCATTGCAGGCTTCATGGCAGGGCAACGGTGCGTCGCTTTTCAGATGAGGCGATGTATGGCGATCACGCCGAGTTGTGGGACAAACGGACCACCGAGCATGATCAGAGTGCTGCCACGGCTGCCTTAAGAATTCAGCAAACGTTCAGCTGGCATGGAAGGCCTGATATCGGCTTTACCCATATCGGAGATCAGACAGTCGTGGTCATGGATGTCGCCCCTGCTCTCGCTGAGGTCCAATCACAGATTTGAACTTCAGGTTCAGCAGGCGACCGATGCTGCTATTGCAAAGCCAGCTGTGCAAACTGCTGGAGGCCACGCGGACCATTCTTATGTAATGACCTGACAGCGAAGACTGATAGGTTTCTAATGGTCTCAAAAGAAAGCATCTTGACTCCTCAGGGGGGTCTGGGCAGATGCCGGACGGGTGCCGGGGAGAATCCGCGGAAGTCGTTTGAAGCAAACAGTTACACACTTCGTGGTCTTCGAGGTCCCAGAATTCCATTCCCGGGCCACATTCTGAATGCCCAGAGCCATTTGTAGGCCACTCCGTGTTCTTCGAGTTCCCAGAACTCCATTCCTGGGCCACATTTTGAATGCCCGGAGCCAACTGTAGGCCACTTCGTGCTTTTCGAGTTCCCAGAACTCCATTCCCGGGCAACATTTTGAATGTTGAGGCAAGCTGAGGCTGAGGCTGAGGCAGGCTGAGGCTGAGACAGGCTGAGGCTGAGGCCGAGGCTGAAGGCAGACTGAGGCTGATGCTGAAGCAGGCTGAGGCTGAGGCTGAGGCAGGCTGAGGCTGAGGCTGAAGCAGGCTGATGCTGAGGCAGGCTGAGGCTGAGGCAGGCTGAGGCTGATGCTGAGGCAGGCTGAGGCTGAGGCAGGCTGAGGCTGAGACTGAGGCAGGCTGAGGCCGAGGCCGAGGCTGAAGGCAGACTGAGGCTGAGGCTGAAGCAGGCTGAGGCTGAGGCTGAGGCAGAGGCAGGCTGAGGCTGAGGCTGAGGCAGGCTGATGCTCAGGCAGGCTGAGGCTGAGGCTGTGGCTGAGGCTGAGGCAGGCTGATGCTGAGGCCGAGGCTGCAGGCAGACTGAGGCTGAGGCTGAGGCTGAGGTTGAGGCTGATGCAGGCTGAGGCTGAGGCAGGCTGAGGCGGAGGCTGAGGCTGAGGCAGGCTGAGGCTGAGGCAGGCTGAGGCTGAGGCCGAGGCTGAAGGCAGACTGAGGCTGAGGCTGAAGCAGGCTGAGGCTGAGGCAGAGGCAGGCTGAGGCTGAGGCTGAGGCAGGCTGATGCTGAGGCAGGCTGAGGCTGAGGCTGAGGCTGATGCAGGCTGAGGCTGAGGCAGGCTGAGGCTGAGGCCGAGGCTGAAGGCAGACTGAGGCTGAGGCTGAAGGCTGAGGCTGAGGCTGAGGCTGAGGCAGGCTGAGGCTGAGGCTGAGGCTGAGGCTGAGGCTGAGGCAGGCTGAGGCTGAGGCTGAGGCTGAGGCTGAGGCTGAGGCTGAGGCCGAGGCTGAAGGCAGACTGAGGCTGAGGCTGAAGCAGGCTGAGGCTGAGGCTGAGGCAGGCTGAGGCTGAGGCTGAGGCAGGCTGATGCTGAGGCAGGCTGAGGCTGAGGCTGAGGCTGATGCAGGCTGAGGCTGAGGCAGGCTGAGGCTGAGGCTGAGGCCGAGGCTGAAGGCAGACTGAGGCTGAGGCTGAAGCAGGCTGAGGCTGAGGCTGAGGCTGAGGCTGAGGCTGAGGCTGAGGCAGGCTGAGGCTGAGGCTGAGGCAGGCTGAGGCTGAGGCTGAGGCTGATGCAGGCTGAGGCTGAGGCAGGCTGAGGCTGAGGCCGAGGCTGAAGGCAGACTGAGGCTGAGGCTGAAGGAGGCTGAGGCTGAGGCAGGAGGCAGGCTGAGGGCTGAGGCAGGCTGATGCTGAGGCAGGCTGAGGCTGAGGCTGAGGCTGAGGCTGATGCAGGCTGAGGCTGAGGCAGGCTGAGGCTGAGGCTGAGGCCGAGGCAGACTGAGGCTGAGGCTGAAGCAGGCTGAGGCTGAGGCTGAGGCAGGCTGAGGCTGAGGCTGAGGCAGGCTGATGCTGAGGCAGGCTGAGGCTGAGGCTGAGGCTGATGCAGGCTGAGGCTGAGGCAGGCTGAGGCTGAGGCCGAGGCTGAAGGCAGAGGCTGAGGCTGAGGCTGAGCAGGCTGAGGCTGAGGCTGAGGCAGGCTGAGGCTGAGGAGGCTGAGGCTGAGGCAGGCTGAGGCTGAGGCTGTGACTGCGACTGCCGTTGCCACTGCGACTGTCATCGCGAATGCGACTACGACTGCGAGAACAGCAGAATTCTACAACTGGAATCTCATCTGATTCTTAAGGGGAATGCTTCCAGATATGCTCCTACACATCGCTGTTAGGTTGCGTTGCTGGGATAATTGTGCATTTTATGGAGGACGCTGCCGGGTCAGCTGGGAATGTCGCACCTACCGTGCCAGACATTACCCTGGCGACGTACCCAACCCTTGCGCAATGCGGGGCATGAGTAGCTTGGGAGACGTTCTACGGAGGTGTTGACGTGACATGGGCGCATATACTTCTGCGAGCGGCATTCGTGAGGCTCGCAGCCCCCCAAGGATTGCGATGTCCCGCTCAGATCTGCCTGGTGCCTCGCTCCGCTGCACCCACCAGCAGCCCTCGAAAGTGGCGACAGTTTCGCAGATCGCAGCCCCCCAGGGACGGCGAGGTCCCGCTCAGGTCCGCGCGGTGCTTCACTTCGCAGGACCCACCAGCAGCGCTCGAAAGTGGCGACAGTTTCGCAGATCGCAGCCCCCCCAGGGACGGCGAGGTCCCTTTCAGGTCCGCGCGGTGCCTCACTCCGCAGGAGCCACCAGCAGCCTTCGAAAGTGGCGACAGTTTCGCAGATCGCAGCCCCCCAGGGACGGCGAGGTTCCGCTCAGGTCCGCGCGGTGCTTCACTCTGCAGGACCCACCAGCAGCCCTCGAAAGTGGCGACAGTTTCGCATATCGCAGCCCCCCAGGGACGGCGAGGTCCCGTTCAGATCCGCGCGGTGCCTCTTTCCGCAGGACCCACCAGCAGCCCTCGACAGTGGCGACAGTTTCGCAGATCGGAGCCCCCAGGGACGGCGAGGTCCCTCTCAGATCCGCACGGTGCCTCACTCCGCACGACCCACCAGCAGCCCTCGAAAGTGGCGACAGTTTCGCAGATCGCAGCCCCCCGCAGGCAAGACAGGAGGAGGCAAGAGGGAGGCGGGACGGGAGGCGAGAAGGAGGAAAGGAGGAAGTCGAGACCACACTGCTCTATTCAAAACGAATACCCAACCAAGGAGGGTTGGGAAAAACAGTGGACGCAAATCCTACAGCCAGCGAGGCCACCGACACAGCCGGTGACCACCCACCGCCTTGGCAGCTGCCGCGCCGCACTGCGCTGCCTACGCCGCCGTTTGCTCCGACACCGAGGGGCCGGATGCCGTACCAAGTTTCCCCCGCCGCGGCGAGACGCGGGAAATGGGCCGACTATGGACATGGAGAAGCAAATGAGATGAGGTCGGAGAGCCGGGAACTTTCATCATCTGCCGATGGAGTTCCCGATTGTTTCCGCCGAGCCGTCCTGGAAGCTCGCAGGAATCGGTGTGCTGCCGCTGCTGGCAGTTGGGGTATCAACAGGCGCTACCCCGCCAAGGGTGGGGATCAATGGGTCTGGAGTGCTATCGAGCAGGAATGGCAGCACTGGTACGCCAGCGAACGCAATGCGTGCTTCAACCGCAGATAGAGGAAAAGAACAACTCGATAGCGGCTCAGCCGTTGCCGTACTACCTGTTCAAATAAATCTGGACATCTATTCAGTTCTGGAACATCCGCATTCATGCTTAAATGCCATGCGCTGTTTTGGTCGTGGGACTCGTCGCGCTGTTTCGGCCCTCCTCAATGGATCTCCAACGGTAGTATGGGCACCCCGCCTTCGGCGCTGTAGAAGCTCTTTTGGGGGTGGCACCAGGAGGGCCAAAGTGCCTGAGGGTGCCAGGAACCCCTGGAGCTTCAAGGGGAGCTGAAACTATGGGCCTACGCATCCCGCCGCGCAGGAAGTTGTTTAGCATCTTCCCTTGCCGTCTCCCGCGCCGCCTTTTTGCTGCTGCACGATATTGTGCCGCAGCTATATTTGGCTCAATGTACTTGGTTGGCACCGCGGGCCGATTTGGTGTCAGTCGTCCCACCTCCCGCGCTCACATATATTATACGCACAGTTTACCATATATTACAGCCATGCCGACGCGACTTGTCAAAAGCAATAGCGGGACCAATGTAGCATCATCTTCAAATCCCACATTGACCGGGTATCCCGTCCTTTTGGCAAATAACGGGTGTGCGATGCTGGAGCCGTTGTGAGACCTCGTCGGAAACAAGCAGGCGATAAGGCACAAACCATTGAACAACATTCGGTTATCTTCCCGAACAGTTCGCGGCCTCAAAAGAGCGAGCCTCGCGACGCAGAGGACCCCGACAGGACCCCGAAGAGGCCCAAGGGGGGCCCAGAGATGGCCCCATACCCGTCAAAATATTGAAGAGGCCAACGATAGTCCTTGGCGGCCCAAGCGGCCCCAAGGACCCACAAGAGCCCCCAGTAGTCTTCCAACAGGCCGTTTGGAGGCTCCCAAAGCCTTCAGGCGCCCCCTTCATGTGGCCCCCGGGAGGCTTCTCTGGGCGCGGGGGGGAACTCTTCCGCCGAAGGGTAGGGGGAGGAGGAGACGGCCGTTGGAAGGGTAAACGCTCTGGACCACCTACGCCCCGAGGGCTGGCTTGACTTGTTACAGTTGCCCCCGGCGTGTGAGCACTTGATCGGCACGTATCAGAATCAGCGGACGCCGTTGCCCAGTACCGCCGCCGACCGAGGGGGTCCATCTTCAACAGCTGCGGCGACAAGGCGCCCGCGCGGCGGCTCGCTCGCGGCCTGCTTCCCCTTGGTGTCTGAACCTCGCCCTCTTGGTCGCTGCTGGCCCGCCCCGCAGCCCTTGTCGTCGGGAGGTGAGGTGAGGTGAGGGGACGAGGATGAGGAACAGGAGGGAGAAGTGGAGGAGATGGGCGTGGAGGAGGCAAGCGATGAGGGGAGCGACGGGGAGCCGGATGAGGAGGAATGGCGACGAGGAAGGGCGATCAGGACGATGAGGGGGGCATTGGAAGGACGACCAGAGACGAGGAGGATGCGCCTGAGGAAGAGGAGGTAGAGAAGGATGATGAAATGAAGGAGAAGGAGGGGAAGGATGAGGAGGAGGAGGAGGATTCGGTGGAGGAGTAGGACGACGACGGGGGCGACGGTGCGGATGAGAAGGCTGGCGGGAGGGGGAGGGAGGACGACGAGGGCGACCGACTGAGGAGGAGGGGGTGGCCAATGAACGGGAAGGGCGCGGACGCGGACGAGGAGGAGGGAGGGGGAGGATGGGGTGGAGGAGGACGAGAGGGGACGCGGGCCAAAAACCGATGGATGGGGGGGGCTGGCCCCGTCCCTGCGAGGGTTGGCTGCTGCACATCGACCTCCTCCTGTGCATGGATGCCGGCATCAAGGAGCCTCGGCCCCTGCGCTGCGAGCTGGAGATGTCGTGGGGGCGGGCTTGCTTGAGACGAGAGACGAGGGGCAGCTCGGGTTCGGAGGGGGATTTGCCGTTTTGCAGGTTCTGCCTACGGTCAACCCGCTTAGCAAACATGGGCAACCTTCCCGATGGTACCCTTGCATCCTTGCCCCTTCGGCCTCCGGCCCATCCTTAGCAATTTTCGCTGGTCAACCTCGTTCGAAAAACGTTAACTTGGGCCTCCAAGGCCCTTGCTGACCGCGCATCCTTATGACTCGGGTTGACTGTATGGATGTTCCCCTGGCGCCCCACGTGCACCCCGCGGGCGCTTTGGGGGTAAGGAAAGGGTAGTTGGTCTTGCCTGTGGGAATAGCCTGACTGTGCCTCCTGCCCAGCTCGGGGGTAAATGGTACGTCTGCTGAGCGGGGGAATCTTTCTGCCTCAGCTTTTGTCCTCCTGCCTTCTGTCTGTTTCCTGCTAAGTCTTTTTCCCCCTCTCCTGGCTTTCGTCAGAAGTAAGGCCTGTCCAGTCTGCGGAGTTGGGCGGGGGGTCATCTTAGTCATCATCATGCCTCCCCTCCCCATCCTCGGAACTTCTCTGACCCGGGTCGGCCCCCAGGGCGCGGAGTGAAGCAGGGATTGGGAGCAGCGGCTCTTCTCATCAGCAGCAGGAGCAGCAGCAGCGGAAACAGCCGGGAGAAGAGGAACAATATGATGAAGGATGGGGAAGTGCATTCTTTGGTGAGGAGGACGAGGAAGTGTGGGATCAGGATAAGACGAGGAGGATTAGGACGAATCGTGATAGAGATGATAAGATGATATTTCAGACGGACAGGAATAAGAGAACGATCAAGAAGGGCCAGCAATGACAGCATTGTGATATCGGCGCCTGTCCCTGCCCCTGCCTCCTTCATTGTTTTTCATTCCTTGGCTCTTCTCTCTTGCCTTCCCTCCTCCCTCGCTTATCATCGCTTCTCCCTCCTCCCCATTCCCTCTGCCATCTTCTAATCCCGCCCCCTACTTTTCCATTATTTCTCTTCACTGCCTCCGTCCCCTCTCTTTCGTCGCTCCTCGTGCGTCCCTCTTCGCATCTCCCGCGTCCCTCCCTTCTCGTTCTGATCATCCTTCTCTCGTCCTCGTGATCCTCCATCTTTCTCGTGTTCTTATTCCATCGTACTCCTCCCCTCGTCCATTACCCCATGATCCTGCCTCCCTCCTCCCTCCCTTCATGTTCATCCCAATTTTCATCATTCTCCCCCATCGCCGTCGGCGCCCTTGCCTTCGCGTCATCCCCCTCTTATCGTAATTCTCTGCTCTCATTCAATCTGGCGTCGTCTTTGTCTTCGTCTCCAGATTTGTCGTCCTCCCTCCTCCTCCCTCCCCCGCTCCTTCCACCCCTTTCCCCTTGTTAACCCCTCATCACTCTCGGCGTCGTCCTCCGAAGCCAGTTTGGCTCAAGCGGTCAGCGAACTCCCTAGCCAGAGGGCGACAGCCGCCCAGCGCCTGCAGCCATGGGCTCCTGCAAGACCTTCAAGACGAAGAAGCACCTGGCCAAGAAGATCAACCAGAACCGCCCCCTGCCGCAGTGGTTCCGCATGAAGAGCGACACCAAGATCCGGTACAACAAGTTTCGCCGCCATTGGCGCCGCGGCAAGATCGGCCTCTGAACTGGGCTTGTCTGGGCGGGCGCCCGGCGGCGACGGCCGGGCGGGCTCCAAGGCGCGCAGCGCAGCGGCGGCTGGGCCCGCGCGAGCCCCCGCTCAAAGAAACGGGCGTCGTCGTCCTCGTATCTTTCGTGTCGGTCGCCGTCGTCGCCCTCCTCCGCCTCGTCGTCACCTTCCTTCGGCCTTGCCCTTCTCAAGTGGAACCCCTCCCCGAGCCCGAGGATCATTTCCCGCCGCAGTCCCTGCGCGGCGTCCCCCCAGCGGACTTCGAGCAGTGTGTGCTGGCGGCGTACGAGAAAGCGTTCGAGGACAGAGGGAGAGGGGGAGGATGACGACGACGACGACGATGGCGGATCAGGAGCTGGAGGAGCGCCTGGAGCAGGAGGTGAAAGATAGCAGAAGTGGAGGCGCAAGTGGAGGAGGAGGAGAAGGAGGAGGAGGGGAAAAAACAGGAAGAGGAGCGGATGGAGGAGGGGGTTGTGGTTCCATGTCGGATTGACGTAGAGAGGAGGATCAGAGTGGAGAAGGGTGCATGAGGGATGGTTGAGGTTAACGGGGACTGCATAGGAGCAGGATTTGCAGGGAGGGAGAGTGGGACGGGAGACACTGGTGGGAGGGGAGCAACGGAGGAAGTTGACGGATGAGGAACCGCAGCCCGGGCAGGAGCAACGCGTCGGGCCCATCATTTGGGACCTTGTGACCGCGAGCGTAGAGGGCCCGAAGAGCAAGAAGAAGGCCATCAATCTCTCGAATCGCCGATGAGGGGCTTGACGACTTCTGCTGTCTCTCGACTCGCACTGGGGCGCCAACGATTTGCCCCACATATTCCTGAAGATCTCTGGATTGACCACGGTTCACTTGGGCCCATATCGATTCCTTATGCATTTGATCGCCTTGTTCTCGATCGATCCCTACAAGCCGATTGGAGAGAAGTTGTCAAAACATCGAAACCAGTGATCATTGCGTCGTCCTTCTTTTCCTCCTGCTTCCGAACAGTCAAGAAGCTGCATAAACTTGTCCTTCGCGACGCGGCAGAGCAACCCTTTTGCTGACATAAATTGGAAGCGCGTGACACCGAAGAGTTTGGCAAGAACATGCACCAACATCGAGACCCACTGTAGCATAGGGGCTCTTCCCAAGCGACCACGGAGGGTATCAGGTGAAGTTCATTACCCCCGTAAGTTCAGGCACAGGACCATAATGTTGAAACACCCACTGGGTTATACTCGCTTCCCCATCTGTTGGAAGATCCCTACGACAACAAGTTAAACCATGTCTCGAGCGAACTTGGCAAGACACCAGCAACAATATGAACTGTGGCGCATGCGCGTTCTCCGAACGTCCACTGGGATATCAGGTGGAGTGCACTATCCGCGTAAGGTCAGGAGAAGTCCCATAATGCTGAAACACACACTGGTTTTAAACCAGTTCCACCCTTTCGAAGCCTAGCCCTACAGACCCTAACCCCACATGCCCTAACCTACCTCGGCATGTCCATCATGATTGGGTAGTTTCGAGGGCCCGTTCGAAAGCATGCTTAGGGGGGTGTCTCCAGCGAGCCGCTGAGTGTTGTGGCGCGTCCCGTTTTTTCCCCGAGGATGTCTCATGCGAAGCGGCCACTCTTGAAGAACCGAAGATTTGGACAGCGATTTCAGCATCCCCTTTTTTTCTGAGGACATCCCAGGCGAAACGCCAATTTGTAGCATAAGATGGCTTCGAACATTTTCGTCAACAGCCCGTATGTTCGAGGACGTCCCAGGCGAGCGCCCCATTTTCGAAGATCCGAAGATTTCGCGATCGATCCCAACATCCTGGTGTGTTGATGATGTGCCAGGCGAAATCGCCATTTGACCATGACACATTTTCAACCATAGCCTCCAAACTACCAGTGTTGCGAGGGTGTATCCCGCGAAATGGCCATTCTGGGGAATTTGTTGTGACATGAGCGGGAAGCGCGTGACAGCGACGAGGCTTGAAAGAACGTGCAGCATCACCACGATAAAATGCTATCGCATATCGGGGCGATCCGTCTCCAGACCCCTTGTCTCACCACTCCCGTTCCTTTAGGTCAGGTCGAGTTTACTTTCCGCGCGAGTTCAGGCGAGGCGCGCCCCCCGTTGGCGCATCTCGGCGCGATCTGCGCACAGGCCCTCAGCCTCCCCACTCGCGCTCCCCATGTGTCAGGTCGAGTTGACTTCCCGCGCGGCTTCATAAGAAGCGCGCCCCCCGCTGGCGCATCTCGGCATTCCGTGTCCAGACCCCCAACCTCTCCACTCGCGCTCCCCCGTGCCAGGTGGAGTTAGTTCCCGCGCGAGTTCAGACGAGGCGCACCCCCAGCTGGGACATCTCGGCATCGCCCTCTCCAGGCCCCAAAATCTCCCCACTCGCGCTCCCGAGTGTCAGGCCGAGTTCAGCTTCCGCGAGAGTTCAGGCGTGGCGGACCTTTCGTTGGCGCGTCTCGGCATCATCCGTCTCCGGACCCGCGACTTCCCCACTCGCGTTCCCTTACGTCCGGTCGAGTTTATTTTCCGCGCGAAGTCAGGCGGGGCGCACCCCCCGCTGGCGAATCTACGACGGCGACGATGACGACAGGCACGCCGATGGCGATTCTGACGATGGCGACGGCGACGTCGACAATGACGAGGAGGAGGACGACGACAACGACGATGGCGATGTTAATGACGACGACGACAACGATGACGACCACGACGATGCAACTTTAGAGGATGTTTCGAGCGAGGCGCATGCGCATGAACGAACATTTGAAACAACAGAAGCCGTTTTTTAATATAAAAAACGATGCTGTCTCTTGGGCCGTCTTGGGGTACGCCGAAGAAAGTCTCCAACGCACGTCGTGCGACTGCTTGTTGCGCATCGCATGTGTTGGTGGATATCTGAGGCGGGGGCCTCATTTTTCAGAACACGACGGATTCGCAAACCCCCTGGGCATCTCCATTGTTCTAACATGTTTTGGGCGAACGCTCCACGTTACATATGAGGTCTTACCACAGCTTTTTTGGCATTTATTTCCCACGGATGTCCCATGCGGAACGCCCAATTTTGGAAAACAGCGAATTTCGTCCCAGATTTTGAAATCGCAACTGCCCAAGGATATCGGCAACGATCGCTTCACTTTTTTTTTAAGCCGTCGTTATAACTAAACCCGCCGATATCACAACTTTGCGATAATGTCTCAGGCGAAATGGCCATGTCGGGCAATTCGCCAGGATTCCGCCGCGGTGGAATCCCGATGCTTTCCTCTCCTGCGCCCCCCCGGTTCAAGATATGTGTCCCCCGGGCCGGGACCGACGTCCATCGCGCGATTTTTTCGAGTCTTAGCTCGGCACGAACGACATGGGTAAGGAACGACGGGGTACAATGCCCAACAGCATTTCCTTTTCATTCTGAACAGAACTCGCTGTCGGTGTCGCCGCGGCCTGTGTACATTTGAGACAGATGGCCGCTTGCCCAACAGCGGCCGAGTTGTTGGGTTACGACAGCATTTGCTGTTGGGCATTGTACCCATCTTTTTTTCGTACCCACTCCGGGCGTCCAAATTCGCGCGCTTCCCGTCGTCCGATTGGGTATGATAGAAACAACCTTGAGCCCTTTTCCCCCTCGTATTCCCCCCCAGCTGATCATATTTCACCCCGGGTACGCAGCAGCGCCAATCGCGCGACACTTCGAATTTGAGTGCGCTTCTGTCATCCGCTCGCGCGGTCTACTAGTTGGGGCGAAACGTCCGAATTATCCGGCAGCGCGATAGAAAAAACGAAGACCGGCCACGGATCAAGGGCGAAAGGGGGGTGGCAGGGGGAGGGCACCCACAGAGCAAAGATTTTCGGCAGGAGTGACAGTGACCAGTTCGGCCAGCCGTTGTTGAGGTCCGTGGCAGTGGATGTGGAGCGGCGTCGCGACCGCGCCAACGAGCTGAAGCAAAGGCTGCAGGCGACAGAAGAAGACGTATAACAAGTCGAGCCAGTGCTGGGGCGGAGTGGCGAGCGGGTCCATTGAGGCGGGCGCCGGGACGAGGATGGAGTTTCCCCCCTACTCGCGTGCCTGAGGCTAGTAGCGCCCCCGCTTCCCCGCCGCGCCTAGTGCTTAAGGAAGCACCCCCCAGACCTGGCGGGGCAGCCCCCTAGGGTTGGACAGTTTGCGTTTTTCTTAAGAAAGGCGCCGCAGGGCCCCGTGCCAAGGGACCCCAGGTAACGCTCGGGGATTGCCCCGCTTCTGTGTCCTGCCACGTGGACCCGTGGACCCGCGTTGGCGGGGAACCCGGGGCGTAGCCCGCGCGCGGAAGATCAGACCAACCCACCGCATTTTGTTTGGATGAACCTTGGAGGATGTGGCGCTCCTCTGCGGGGTGCGGCGGCCTGGCAGGTTTTGTATATACGAGGGTGTGTGGGCGGGCGCCCCTCGTGCCCTTGGCCCAGCCGGTGCCTTTGACCGGCTTGTAATTAACGGTGTCATCCCCTCCCGTTTTTGCCCTCCCCCTTTTTTTGCATTGTGCCGCGTTGCCCGTTTGTCGGCGCACCCACCACTAGGCATGGCGAGGGAGTCGGGCCTTCCGCGGTGGCTGGGAAATCCCCCAACACCGCGGGTCGTGCGCGGGGCCTCCAGGTGGTGTGGCGGCTGAGCGCTGCAGTGGTTGCGGCCCGCCCTTCTCAACGAGGTGAGGCCCTCCGCCGAGGGGCGGACTGCCTGAGTGTCCGCGCTGTGCGCTCTCGTTTTTGAGAATGGCGGTTGGCCGGCACCGTGTGGCGGGTGGGTCTGTTAGTGGGCGGTGGGCCTTACCGGCTGAACCCCTGCATGGCGCCACAGTAACATGATGATCTTGCCTCCCGTCGCAACCTTCGTTGTGCCTGGGATCCAGTAGTCCAGTAGGTAATCTAATGTTGTTAGTGCTTCGCTTGAACGGTCGGATTCCCTGCTCGCCGTGCGCCTGCCTTTTTTCCTTTTTCCCCTGCTTCGTGCTATAGCCTGTTGGGCTCGAGCAGGTTGCGCTTCACCTCCCTCACACCCTACAATCTTTGCCGCCCGCTACAGCAGGCGGGCGGTGGGAAGTACCAGCTGCACCCCCACGTTGCGCCACAGTAGAATGGTACTGCCTCCCATTACCTCCTGCATTGTGCATGGGGTCCGGTAGGGAATTAGCTAGTACTTAGCGGAATTAGTAAGCACTTTCGTCGGCCCCATGGGATGTCCAGCGGAGTGGACTGGTACGCAGACCCGTTGGGACCTCGCGGCTCCTTGCGTGGCTGCGAGGTGCGCAATTGTTGCCACCTTCGCGGCTCCTGGGAGGTCGTGCGGAATGGAGGTGTGCGGGGATCCAGTTTAAGTCTCGTGGCTCCCTGGGGTGCTGCGACGTGCGCTTGCCGCCACTTTCGCGGGTTCCTGGGAGGTCGCGCGGGGTGGAGTTGTATTTGTGGGGATGCAGTTGGGACCTCACGGCTCCTTGGGGGGCTGCGAAGGTGGGGAGGTCGCCCGAAGTGGAGTTGCATGTGGATGCAATGGGACCTCGCGGCGCTCCGCGTGGCTGCGAAGTGCGCAATTGTCGTCATGTTCGTGGGTTTTTGGGGTGTCCAGCGGAGTGAAGCTGTACGGGGATCAAGTTGGAACCACGCTGGCCCGCCATGCTACCCCACCCCGCGCGCTTGCCTCGCTCAGCGCGACGCGCTGCTCTGCTATAAAGCCAGCGCATGGCGCTGTTCTTTCCCGCGCATGTAGCGCTCGGCGCTGCTGCTGTTGTTGAACCTGTATGTCCCCGGTTCACCCCCGTCTGTATGTTTCTGTCTACGTCTCTATCTTGCTTATCCTTGTATATTTTCTGGCGAACTTCTGGGAGCTCATGCATTGCGGGTCCTTCAGCACGTTTGTTTGTATTGAGCGGTTCTATGTATAGTCGCCTCATGTGTGCACAGGGTTAGGTACGTCCCCTGGTAATTCATTATTGTTTGCGCCATGCTATCCCCCTCTACATTCGCCTCAGTTTTTTCCAATTCCTCCCCTCCCTCTCCCTCCCCAGGCCCGCCGTAGTTTCAAGCCTCAAACGCGAGAGCATGGGGGCGGTCGGAAGTGGTGGAAGGTTTTCCGGCCCAGAGCGGTTTGTGGAAGCAGTGGAGCATTGGCGGCCAAGGTGGAAGTTATCCGTTGAGGGCAGATGCGCCTTTGGTTGAGAAAGCCCGCATATGCCACCTAGAGGGCGAGGCGGCGCGTGTGGCCAAGGCTTTCAGCGCTCGTGAGCGGTGGTGGGAACCCAGCCGAAGCTGTTCGCGGCCCGATCCGATCCGATCCCGAACCTTCGATCTCGACCGCTCCGATTCGACACGGACCAATACTCGTCAGGCTTTCAAGGACCGAGCCCGGTCGGCGATCCCGAACGATCCGCTCTCGACCCGACTCCGCGCCGATTCAGGCGCGATCCTGCCCGTTTCGGATCGGATCCAATCTCACGACTCGATCCAGATCAGGCCTGCCAGCCAAGATCCCTCCCCAGGTGTTCAATGCGTGCGAGGCGGCCTTCAAAGAGTCCCGCATCCCGGGGAGACTTGCCCGCCCGCCCCTTTGTTTGGGCCACGCCGCGCCGTCTGGCAGAGAAAGAGAGAGATGTCTGAAGGGGTGGGCGGGCTGGGAGCAGCTGGATTGGTGTGGCTCAGATCGGTTCCGCATGGTTCGTCGTGCGTGGGGTTCGCGAGTGCAGGTGGTGTTCGACAGACATGCAGAACCCGCGCACGTCAGAGGTGCGTTGGCAATCATGAGACTGGAAAACAGTGGTTGAAACAGCGAACTCGCTAGGCATGGCAAGAGAGGAGGAGAGGATGAGGGGTAGGAGGAGGATAATGAGAAGGAGGAGGGGCCAGAGGCTACAGCCTCACCAAGCTTGACCCAGGGCAATGGATCGGAAGAGGGGCGAGGGGAAGGAGTGCCTATGGCGGTGGAGTTTGGTTGGTATTCACAACTGCTTGTGTCCATGGTTGTGGGTGCCGTCGCTCGTGTCGGGGACCTCCTCGCTCTCATCATCATTGGCACGCTCCTCCTCCTTCTGCTTCCGCGCCCAGTGCGAATATCCGAGTCGTTGCTTTCCTCTCCTGGCTGCTACTCTCGAAGAAGAGCAGACTGGATGAGTATACATTCTCGGAGGCCCGCGCGGATATCTCGAGCCGGTGCTGTAGCCTCGAGCATGTATGTCGTCGTGCCGTCGTCCTCGCCTGCGACCCACCCGCGATCCGCCCGCGACCCACCTGTGACCCACCCGCGACCCGCACGCGACCCACCCGCAGGGGCAACGATAGGGGGGGATAGGCATAGGTGGGGATGCATCGACCCCCAATCGCCCACTAATCGCCGATAGGGGCCCGATAGACCCGACCTGCCCAAGAGGGTGCGGATCCGGTATCGGGGGGCCTATCATCAATCTATCGGCGATATGCCGTCGATACCAGGTCGATGTCCCCCCCCTATGCCAGTTCCCTCCTTTCGTTGTTCTTCATACCCGCGACTCACCCACGATGCCCTAACGAACAAATCGGCGCCTGCAGCGGGCTCGCTGTGTTCAGTGCTAACAATCGGCGCCTGCGGCGGGTTTCTTCAGTGCCTCGCAGACTACTGTCGACCCCGCCGCCACCTCACTCGTATCCGCAACTGCGGGGGCTATGCTCTTTGGCTCACGTGAGCCTCGAAGTCGTAAGCTTGAGGCTGGTGCTGAAGCGTGGCACTCAGAGCAGAAGACAAGACGGTCACAGAAATATTGGCGCACATCGCTTGGGCGCGCGATTACAGGGGCGACGGCAAAGGAGCATCAGCGTCAGACCAGTTCACGTCTGCATGACGCTCGTGTCGAAGTGCGGTTTTGCTTCCCGTCTCAGGGCGGGGCTCGGCAAGGAGCCGCTGGACCCGACAGTGGCGGCAGGTCCAGGGTGAATAAAGTACTTTGTGGTAGTCGCACCAGCGAGGGGCTTCAATCTGGCATACTGATTCGAAACGTCAGAACCCAGAGCAGCCCCTCACTCCAATCTGCGCCTGCGTGGCTCCGGGACTATCTTTGCCGTGCGTGTAAATCATGCGAGCGCATCGCAAACATCGACCGCCAGGGTTTCCTTATACAAGACCAGTGTTGTCAGTCTGCTTTCTGTTGGCCCCATATTCCGAGTGCCTGAGGGCCTGAAGGTGACAATGATAGTGGTTCTTTGTGGGGCGTCTCCCACTCCTGGGGCCGTGCGAACAGGGAGCGCACGCTGCCCGCACGAGCTTGTTATGTAGGCACGAGTCCAATCCCCAGCTTCTGGCAAGCCCGTTTTCTTAAATATTTAGACGGTGTACCGGGCGCGTTGACAGCACATCACCTTCTGTGCTCTCCCCCTTCTTCTGGGACCGTGCGACTTGGCAGGGCACGCTGCCCGCACGAGCCTGTCATGCAGGCGCGAGCCAAATCCACGACTTCTGGCCAGCCCATGTCGTTGCCGTGGCTACGTCCGTTTTACTTAGTCTGCGCTGGCCACGGTCTCGCGTGTCGTCTCGCCTGTTGCAGGTTGACCCTCGCGCGATTCCGGTTTGCCTCGTGCACGTGGTTTGGCACGTGTTTGTGAGGTTTGTTGATAATTATCGATCCACGCGATCCCTGCGTAACATCATGAGCCACCTTGCTCCAATCCTCTCATCACATACGGAAGCAGCACGTGCGCCCAGAGTTTCCCAAAAGGACCAACGTTTGACGGATCCCGACCCCCATGTGTTGATATTATAATTAGCCGCGTGCCAAGCGGGATGATTGTTTTCAAGCCCGCATCATCATCATCATCATCATCATCATCATCATCCTCATCATCATCATCATCATCATCATCATCATCATCATCAACATCATCATCATCATCATCATCATCGTCGTCATCATCATCATCATGATCATCATCATCCGTTTCCATTTTGGCTCAAGGCTCTATTCTGTTTCGTGGGGTTAGAACCTTGGCTGCTGCCGACGGGGAGGCTCTGGCTTCTTGGGCGCAGCGCCCCTTTCCCACCCACGACCCCTGTTGGAGACCAACCCTGGTCGCGGCAGGCCCTTCGTATCATCGCCCCAAAGTTGCTCTGTCCTTTTCCGGGTGCGATGCCGGTCTCTCTCGAGAGTATCGAGGCCCTCCTGAAGGAACAAGGGACAGCTGCGCGGCAGCAGGCGTTGGAGACCAAAGATACGCTCGACAAACTGACGACGGCGGTCGCCGAAGCCCTGACCTCCACCAATCAGCTTGCGCTCCGCATGTCCGCGGCGCAGGTCGAGACTGACGAGAGGTTCGCCAAGCTGGAAGAGCAGATTTGGGTTCTCCAGGATTCGCGGGACTTTCAGGACTGCGAGGGCGACCAGTACGGCGACGAGCAGATGGCTGAGGGGGGCCCTCGGCCCCCTCGTGGTGTGTCGCTCAAGATCGATGCCATCGAGAAGAAGCTCGCCGAGCTTGCTGCAGCTCAGTCGGCTGCCGCATCGGTGGCCGCATCCACAGCAGCTTCGGGCAGGTCCTACAGCCCCACACCAGAGCGGAAGCGCGCTGGCATGTTGGGCGGCAAAGTCATCAATTCAGTGGACGAATGAGTGGCTCCAGATCGTTCCAAGATCTGGATGCGAGGTTTCCCGCGGAAGCTCCTGAAGACGAAGTTGGGTGAACACTTCCTGACGATGAAGGACTCCTTCCCCGCCACCATTCGTTCAAGGTGCCAGGCGTGGACACGCAATATGCAGACGGCCTCTTTGGTCAAGTTCGAGACAGAGCAGGACGCCAACAGCTTCTGCGACCAATTCCGTGCGCCCCCCCCCCCCCCCCTCGCGGGGTGACCCGAGGTTTGGCATTTTCCACCAGGTCCGAGTTGGTCGCGATCTTCCGATTGAGGTCAGGAAGAGGAGCCTCGCGATGAGCAAGTGCTGGACCATGTGCAAAGACATGCAGCAGGGCCAGAACCTGTGGGAGCCTGAGCAGGGAGTCCGTTCCACGGAGTGTGTTGCCTCATCTATCAGGACGAGGCGCACGCGTTGGTCAAATGCGCCGACTCCTTGGACGGCACGTTCACCTTCGAGCCGCAGCTCTCAGTGCTTCAGGAGATCGGGATCGCGAAGGAGATGGCCGAGGGCATTCCTGGACTGGTTTAGGGTCTTCTCGGACAGTCCTCCTGATGGCGTGCGTGGCAGGACTTTTGCTCAGTGAGGTCGAACGCGATTTTGTGTTCTGGTGAAATCTACCCGTGCTCCATGGGTGAAGATAATTGCGGCTGCGATTTTAATAGCATCGCGTCTGGTTTGCTTCCCCTTCCGCCTCGGAAGCGAAGGCGGCTGTCTGACAGCCGGAAGCGTCGTGGCGTTTCCCCTTCCCCTTCCTGTTCCTCCTCGTCCTCCTCCTCCTCCCCTCCTCCTGTGCGTGCCAGGTCAGAATGCCGGCGGGCCTTTTCACGTTCGCGAGCGTGCAATTTTGTCTCATGGAATTCAGGTGCCCTTTTTGGAGCAGCGTCTGGTTCATAGTCTCGACAGAGACGTATCCAGGGGAAGGCCCGCGGCCTATGCTGTAACGGTGATGTTGTATTCATGCAGGAAACGCACGGTTCGGGATCCGACTTGTCGAGTCTCGAGCGCGACTTCCCCGACGCGGTGCATTTTGGCTCTTTCCGCCTCTCTCGCGCCGGCGGCGTGATCATTGCCATTCGCGAGACGTTGGCTGCCGAATGTGAGGGTGCTCCCCGACTGCTCGTGATAGACCCTGGTCGGGCGTTCTCGCTCGCCTTTTTTGGACCAGCTGGCAGCGTGCAGTTAGTCAATGTCCACATCCAGCCGCAAAGGATACATAGTTTGAAGATGGGGCTTCTCCAGAACATCCGTCGGTCGACCTTGGGGCTGAACGCTGCGTCGGTTTTCCTGGGCGGTGATTGGGATTTCTTGGGATCTGGGGAGCAGCGGTACTCCATGTATCCGGATGAAGCTCCAAGGGAATCTGCGGCGCCCAGGCTCGGCGACCTATTTGGTCTGCATTTTCTCCAATTTGCTGATGTTGAGCAGGGTGGTCCTACCCGCAGATGCGAAGCCCATGAAGCTGTTGTTTGCGCTGGTCGTCTTGATCGGTGGTAGTCTAACCTCCGCAGCTCAGTTCTCCTCGATCTGCCCCTTTCGGAGCTTCGTGATTGCTCGCTCGCGCGACCGTCGTGAACCGTCTGGCCATGCCCTTTCGTCCTTCAGCGCTCCCTCAATCGGTCTACCCTTCGTAAGCGACCTAAGTGGGTCTCGCTGCACCCTGAGCCCGAGCTCTTGAATGAAGTTTCTCTGGAGGCTGGCCTTTCGGAGGACCCTCGAGGGCGTATCGTGTATATTGAGGAGTGTATGTTTGGGGTCAAAGATTGACTCCTGCAGAAGCTCTTCCGTAATGTGCCAATCACCGACAGGCAGAAGGTCGCCATTTGCTTGAAGTTTATTCGTGCCACCCAGTACAACAATCGTGCTCTGATTAGGAGGTGCATTCGGTCTCTGCCAGTCCTCGCCCAGTTCTTCGATTCCGAAGGCGAGTCCTATT